AATTCAGGCGGCGGTAGCCGCAGCTGCGACAAAGGAATGCCACGTTTGCAGCCTCGTATTGGGCAGCGGGATCAGCCAATGAGACGCTGGCACGGAAGACGGCGGCGCGCCCATTGGGCCAGATGGCAACAAAGAAGAGGCAGAAGGGAGGGAGGCTTGTCGGGCGAGACTACGTTACCCAGAAAGGAGCGCGCACGGGAAGGGTACTGCTCCTCTCCTCTAGGGGGCAGCATAACGGAAAGGCAAGCTGACAGGATTCGGCGCCTGCGCAGGGGAGAGCCCCGCTCCCGGGTCCACTTTCCATTGAGCAACCGGATCGCTCTGAGCCACCAGCCGCCCTCAGCCCTGCCTACCTGCAAGGTTGTTGTGCGGAAGCAATGGGGGAGATCCGTATTGGTCCTCTTGAGGAAAGCCAGGCTACGGACGCAAAGGGGTTGGGCTCTGAAGGCTGCAATGCCGTGGGCGAAGTTACTCAGGATAAACTAAGTCCTTTAGACCAGGGCTCCTAAACCTGGGCAACTTTAAGATGTGCGGACTTCAACTCCTAGAATTCCCCGGCCAGCATGGCTGGCCGGGGAATTCTGGGAGTTGAAGTCCGCACATCTTAAAGTTGCCACTGTTGAAAAACATTGCTTTAGAGCATCATCCAGACGGGCGCATGATGCTTCAGACAGATTAGATAACTTTATATCATTAATTATTCAAACAGTAGGCTTAACCTCCAAAATAAAAAGTAGATGCAGCCCTGGTCGCTACTGCTGCACACGTTTATATTTTAGGTCCAGAGGAAAAGAGTTGTTTGAAGCTTTGTAAAGATTGACTCTTTTGGCATCTTACCTTAACAAAAAATAGAAAAGAGTGATTTTTCTGCTGGTCATTCCTAAAAATCCAGGTGTAAGGTTTAAAGCGCCCCAAAGTGGGCTTGCTCCATCAAAGATTACACTCCAGTAAGTCCAGAGGTCTTTTATATAAATGTTGCGGGGCTCTTGACATGAAAAAGAGCATGGCCACGCCATCTGAACTTTTAGAGGTTCACTGTACAATATACAGGTGAAGCAGCAAAGCTTAAAGCTGAAGTCTAGTTTAAATCTTCTTATAAACAAAAAATAAATCTAGTCTCTGCAGACAGTAAGTTAGCATTTTGGGTAGGCAGGTGATCTGTCTATATTATCATCGTCATCATATTATTTTGGTGCCTTCGAGTCAGTGTTGATGTCTGGCGACGGCCTGGAGAGGTCTCTGCAAGTTTTGGGGAAGTGGTTTGCCATTGCCTGCCTCTTAGGGCTGAGCAAGAGGAACTGGCCCAAGGTGGGACTAGAACTCCCAGCTTCTAGCCTGGTGTCTTAATCACTACCCCAAACTGGCTGTTTATATTGCACATAAAACCAAACTGAAGAATCAGTCTTTTAGTCTATCGTACTTTCATTTGCCATATTAGGTTCTGTACAAAAGATTGCACTTAAATGTGCAACTACTTCCAAATGTTTAACTGAACCATGTATTTGAACCATACGTCACATGGGAAAGCCAAAAATGTTCCAATTATCCCACTGGTGGCAGAGAGCGCACCAATTTGCAGCAGAATCCAATCCACAGACCAATTTCCCAAACACCTGTAACCAGGAATGTATGTGAAATTCGGATTTTTTGGGGGGGTTCCACCTCGGAGCACTTGATGTTCATTTGCATTACAATTCTCTTGGTACATACGCACAAATACACACACACAAACAGAGGATACTTACTTGTGCACAATAATGAACAGAGCAGAAGTGAACAGAGCAAAGTCAATGTTTTATTTTACATTAAAATGGTGCAATTAGGGGGAGAATGTATTCAAGGTACACAACATTTCTTGCAATGTCCCATTAAAACAGGCGCATCAGAAAGATCAGTAGCAGGACCCATTTCCTGGCAAAATAAAACCCCACCAGTGCTTGAGGAAGGTTTTTCCTGCACACGGCATATATAAGCCCTTATCCTGGTTGAACTGTTTTCAAATGTATTTCAAATTGACATTCATGTGGAAAAGATATTTCATGTTCACCACTGGGTGGCAACAGCAGTGCCAGGATTATGAGAGTACAGTAAAACATTGCATCGTGTGTTTCAAATAAAACGATTAAAAAAAAACAACCCAAAAGGCATTTCAAGAATCAGAAATGTGCACATAATACTTTAAAAAAAGAGAGAGGAAAAAAAAGATTTTCACAGCTGATTTTTCTTTATGGTAAGAAGAGTTCCACTCATTCACTATCCCCATCCCATGTTTTAAAAGCACAAAAGGCCTGCAGTAAAAGAAACAGACGAAATAAATTATACATCACAAGGTTTCCAATGGGAACAAGCCACTTAACCGCATTTCCCTGCTTGGAGAAGATGAAATATTTGGTATGGTCCGCCTACCCCAAAGTCTTAACTCTCCTCTCTCCTGGTCATTGCAAAAATCATTTTTGTCACCATCAAGTTGGCTTCCTAAGTGGAAAAGGCAACCCCTGTTCCATATTCCACATGGTAGCACCTACATCATACAGCAATAATGCAGTTGGGGGGGGAAAACATTTTGGGGGGGGGGGAGAAAAAGTGATTATATTCCTGAGACAGTCTGAGAGACTCTCAAAAGAATGAGAGAGGTTACATAAAAGCCTTCCTCCTGTCTAGGTTTGATTGGCACCCGCTCGCCATTTCTTTGGGGGGGAGATGAAATTCTGAGCTGACAACAGGTAACACACAGCCACCCGCTTTGGGAGAAAGGGTCCCTCCCCATGACTTCCCTCTTGGGTGAGAAAATACAGGCTACTACTACGTCAGTGTTTCTCAACCATGGCCACTTTAAAGCCTGTGGACTTCAACTCCCAGAATTCCCCAGCCAGCTGTGCTGGCTGGGGAATTCTGGGAGTTG